ATCCATCCATCCATCCATCCATCCATCCATCCATCCATTATCTTTACTTGCTTCTTCCTTTCTAGGTCACAGGGATCACTGGTGCTCATGTCCAGCAGTCACTATGTGAGAGGCAGGGGACACCCTGGACAGGTCTCCAGTCCATCACAGGGACACATAGAGACAAATGAGACAAACAACCATTCACTCTCTCACTCACACCTAGGGCCAATTTAGAATTACCAATCAGCCTAACATGCATGTTTTTGGTCTGTGGGAGGAAACCGGAGAACCTGGAGAAAAAACATGCATGCAGAGAGAAAACATGCAAACCGCCCCCCCACCCCCCACCACTGGGATTTGAGCTAGCAACCTTCTCGCTGAGTGGAAACAGCTCTACCAACTGTGCCACAATGCCCGAAAGTAAAAACAAATACAATAAATTCTGGATGGAATTTTGCTAAAATTATAAGAAAAACGTATAACTATTTTCAATATTTGTTGCTAACCAGTTAGGAGTTGTTGGGTCTTTAGGGGCAGAGACAATCAAGAGAAGATGAGTTTGGGGAGTACTTGAGAACCATTAAAAACATATTTAACAAGTATAACAAATAAAATCTATTTTGAAGAAAATCATAGTCATGCCGGCTTTTTCTCATTACAGAATAGACTTTAAGTCTCTGCAGAAGCACAGATCCTTCCAATCTAACAATCTACTAAAAAAAAAAAAAGTTCCGGATAGCAATGTTGAGGATTACATCCAAAGCAACAATCTTGATAATCAATTAATTTGATCAAGTACTATCAGTCTCAGGCAGCGTAACTCCCAAATAAAAAAACAGTGCACGACACACTCTGGCTGAAGAGCATTTGCATGTCTCCTCTAGGGTATCTCAAATGAATTACACAATGTGGCATCTAATATAATTATATTTTTACATATGAAATGGAAATTTTAAAGTTCTAATTGAAAGTTCACATTTTAAAAATCACCCTTTCATGGAATTTTTCTTACCCACAGTTTAAATGACACACATTTGCACTCGCCTAAGGAAAGTGTTGCTTTTCCCTGCCTTCCAGTTTTTACCAAGACGGTGCAGCAACAAAACTGTGGGGTCATCACAATTTCAGCTTTGCAGCTCTAAGTGCTGTAAAACCAATGTCACACTTTCTGTTCCATAATAAATAAATACTGGCTCAAGTTAAAAAATCAGGTTACAACATGCATTACACTTGACCAATCCTAGGTTTTTGTTGGCAAGTCTGCAGCTGATACCTGCTCAAGGTTTCATACATAAAACAAATGATGGGGGCATTGTACATGTTTGTTTTAAAAGAATCCACATCTCCTCACTAAGTGTCAAGTCCAGTGCCTGTTAGAGCAGCTGTCCTCCAGTGCAAGAGTTGGGGGTTTGATTCCACCAGCAGTCTCATGTCCAAGTGTCCCTGAGCAAGATACTGAACCCCTCTTTGCCTCCGATGTGTGTCCCATAGGTGTCTGAATGATCTAAAGCTCTGATTAATATTTGTAGAGATCTAGTAGAGTGCTGTATGAATGGGTAAATGAGAACACAGGTTGTAGTGTAAAGAGCTTTGAGTATCTCGATAACTTAAAAAGGCACTATATAAGTACAGTCCATTTACCATTTAAGTGCAGTTTGCAATATAAAGAGAAGATTAGGAGTGGTAATTTTCTATTACTCACAGTAGACAAATTATAGTGAACTAGAGTGAATGGTACAGGTTGAAAGAGTTTACTCAAGTAGGTTTACAGATATATGCAGGTTGGACATGTGGGTACACTTTCAATGTAAACAAAGCACTAAGATCAGAGGTTAATCTGAGCTGGATTCTGTCAGAACAGGATGCGGGAACTCTCTTATTTTGACAGGGTGCGTTCCGGTATCTGTTTGCTTGGATCCAGTAATTCTCAGGCGTAGTAATAATAAAGTTATGAGCAAACATGACTGCCTTGAACGAATAAAACTTATGCTGGATATCCATCCATTCATTATCTTTACCCGCTTCTTCCATTTTGGGTCACGGGGGTCGCCGGTGCCCATGTCCAGCAATCACAGTGCGAGGGGCGGGGTACACCCTGGACGGGTCGCAAGTCCATCACAGGGACACATAGAGACAAACAAGACAAACAACCATTCACTCTCTCACTCACACCTAGAGACAATTTTAGGGTTACCAATCAGCCTAACATGCATATTTTTGGTCTGTGGGAGGAAACCGGAGTACCTGGAGAAAACCCACGCATACACGGAGAGAACATGCAAACTCCACCCAGAAAGGCCCCCGGACCAGGATTTGAACCAGGGACCTGCTCGCTGAGAGGCAGCAGCTCTACCAGTTGCGCCACCGTGCTGCTATGCTGGATATGTAAACTGAAAATATTTACATAAACACTAATTTTAAACACAACAGCCACTTACGAGCATACAAGCTGCCCCTTCAAGTAGCATTTCTGCGTCTAACCTTAAGAAAATCTCTGCCTGTAAAAGAGTGGTGGAGGTGAATGCTGAGCTAACCAGTCAGTCATATGTGGCAGGCAGGAGCCCAGATGGAGGAGGCACATGGAGGTTTCACATGTGGAGTCAGACAACAACGAGCAGGGATGATGTCAGGCTTGGAACCATCAAGGAAGGGGTGGGGGGATGCTTGACTGAAGCGGAGTGTTTACAAATGTAGGTAAACATAGATGTTTAACAACCCGTTAAAATACACAAAAATGCAGGAAATTGCATCTACTTTATTAAAAATTTTCTGGGGAGGACACCCCATACCCCCCCCCCACACACACACACGGTTACCGCATTTTCCACCGTACACGTTGCACCGCCCTATATGTTGCATCAGTCCAAATATGTCTAAAAAGTGGAAAAAAATCCGTAAATATGTCACTTTGCTGTATAGATCACATCTATTATGCGTCACCGCTGACGTGTCGCATTTGTTACGCTTCACCGCTGACAACCCAAAGATGTGAGCCAAACCCAGAAATGTGTGCCAGTGACGTTTGCTTAATAAATTCACTTTGATGGTCAAATCAGCTGCATTTCAAAAATAGTTTCACTGCCTCGGTGCTCCGGGAGCGCACAAAGGGAGGAAAAAAAATAAGGAAGAACGCTGCTCATTTCTTCAAAATTTAACAAGAATAGCACCTAAAACAATTTTTTTTTTGCTCGAAATTATAGCAAAGGTGTGTCTCAGGCTAAAGTTTCTTTAATAAATGCACTTTAATGGTCAAATTAGCTGCATTTCTCCAGGGCGGTGCAGCTGATTTAATTTGCTCCAAGAAGCGAACAGAACGAAGGTGGGAGGACTATGGCAAGCCGATTGTGTCATTAATAGCTGGTGAAGATTCTCAGTCATCCAGGACATGGTAAATTCAAAAAAGTTAAAAAAAAGAATAAAGTATAAAGTATAATAAATAAAGTCCAGTTGTTTTTGTCTTGAACTTTAATGAATTTGTCATTATAGCCACGTTTACCTAATACATGATACAACGGCATGCCTTACTGATACTACTACTCTGCTGCCATCTAGTGGCTGAAAATGGTACTGTTAAAAAATCAGTCAGAATGAATGAAAACGGTCATATCTCAGCCAAAAATTGGTTTATAAATATGGGGAAAAATCACCAAATGTAGCTTCAGACTATAAGTTGCAGGGCATGCAAATTACGCAAAAACAAACAAACAAAAAAAACGCAACTTATAGGCCGAAAAATATGGTACTTGTGTTCTGGCAAAGATCGGTTTATAAATTGAGCCCTGACTCAGATGATACCTGAACCTCATTAGCTTACTTGGCTCAATCTGAAAGTAATATGTAATTTGTACCAATACATCAAAATTGTCAATCTTCTCCATCCTAAACAGCTACTTATATGGACATCAAAATTGTTGACCTATTTTCAGTCCCTTCAGTTGTTGCCATACTTAAACAAAAGCATGTGGTAGTTGAGAGCCTTACACACATTTTTCTTACACGTTTTTAATTTAAGGACACAACAATTTAAAAATATGTTTCCCCAGTATTTTTTTAAAGCTTATTAGAATCATAACATGATGAATACATGGTTTTGTTTTCAAAGTCTGTCAGAATGACTTGTCTTGCTGAGGTCCAGGTCCAATGACAGCTAACTGTGGAGGCAGGTGACTCACAACCATAAACTTGAAAACACAGATTAGTCAGCCAGACTCCAGCAGGTGCACACAGGAGGCAGGGTGGATGCTATGTGAACTTTTGTCACTGTTTTCACATGACTTCCCTCAATATGAGTCTGAAAGGGCAAATCAGAGGAAGAGGCAAGAAGTCACAGCTGTGGAAAACAAGGACATCTCAATAGTGTTGAGTTTAAGAAATAATACACTCAGCGTGCTCACAACTGCTGCTACGAGACAAGGTTAGGTCAGACAGGGCCAGCTGAAATTTTGGAGTCATCTGTGGAGGCTGGTATGGAGTGTTTCCAGTGTTAGAAATATTGTGATATTAGATGTGGGGGAGATTACTCACAAGTGAGTGAGTGTGGATCCACATCTGCACATGAAAACACAACTTAGGCAAGATTCTTACAAAAGCAGGCTACACTCAAATGCATTACATTCAGCTTCTAATAGATTAAATGCCGATAAATACAAAAACAAATGCACACAATGTCCATTTAATGTCCTCAGATTACACTAATTTATTGAAGACGTAAGCTCTGGCATTGGATGTGCATGTTTATTCTGCCTAAACAAAGACAGGCTGAGAAATGCATGTTGAATATTTAACCATAACGAGTGGGATGTCCTCAAACGACCTCGACTTCTACACTTTTTTTTTTGCAGAGGATGACACGGAGACGTGCCGTGGCACTTCTCACCAGCAGTGGCTGGGGATTAAACAGAAATGCACCCACAGAAGACGTTCCATTAGGATGCTGTGGTATGAACCAAGACAAGTTGAGTAAGGCAAAATGTGGTGTGATGAAAGGGTTAACTGCATAAAGGGGAAAGATAAACACATTACTGCTTCGCTAGTTGCCGCAAGTAACGTAATGAACTCCTAATCGCTGCTGAGGGTGTAATTCATCTATAAAATCAGCAGCAAATTGAGATGAGGAAAATCAGTTTCTGATCTATCTCATGCGGGAGCTTAGTAGGAAAGATATTGAACTCTCAAAAGGTTAGGAGTAGCACTTTCCTGTCAGCATTGATATTCTGTCAGTGGAAACGTCCCCCTCGGCTGCGTCATGTACACACGGGCCTGCCAAGCAGCACCCATGTCAGGCAGATGAATGCATCTGTATTCTGCTCAGGCTGGCCTGATAAGAAGTGACTAACACCGAAGGTCAGCATGTCATTCTCTCAATCAACTCCAGCAGCACACAATGTCAAAAGCTTTGTTGAGTGCAGTTGTCAAGAGAAGGAGTATGTTTACCCTCTCCACCTAATTTCCCCACCCATCCCGTCTCCTCCTGGTCCTTGTCATCCCCTGCCTCCACCCCCAACGACTTACCTGCTCTCTCCAGAGAAAAAGCAATCACAGAACATGTAGAGCGCTGTGCATGAGCGCTGCGCTCTTGGCACCTCAACTCCTCCTCCACCTTTACATTCCTATTTCTTACTGTCAAGCATCCCACAACAGGTTCTGGTCAGAGCCATCCTGCTTCATCACATATCAAAACCCCTAGACATGTGTGTGTGTGCGTTTATGTTCCCGTCATGTATTGTGTGCTTTCATTTTATGCTCGTGCATATGTTTAGACAAGATAAAACCAGGGCAGTAAAACTGAAAGGAACACTCATGAAAGGAAGGAGAGAGACAGACAAAGAGTCGGGTGGTGAGTGAGAAGGCACAAGAGAAAGAAATGACTCACCTTCTCTGCCGACTGGGCTGTGCCAAAGAAAATTGGGATGAAGGCCAGCCACACTATGCAAGTGGTGTACATGGTGAAGCCAATGGGCTTGGCTTCATTGAAGTCTTCTGGTACATCCCTTGTCTTGATGGCATAGATGGTGCAGGTCACCATCAACAGGATGCTGTAGCCCAGCGAGCAGATAATTTGCAGGTCCGTGATGTCGCACTTCAGCACGCCACGGGCCAGCATGGGGTTGATGGTCTTTTGCTCATCGTAGTCAATGATCGTGTCTGGCGGGTCGACAGCAAACCACACCAGCACCCCCAGCAACTGCACAGAGATTAAACTGGAAGTGATGGCGATCTGTGAGGTGGGACTGATGAAGCGAGGGGCCGTGACCGTCTGCTTGCCCTGCTCGAAGATGCGATAGATCCGATTGGTCTTGGTGAGCAGGGCGGCATAGCTGATGCACATGCCTAGGCCCAGGAAGATCCTCCTGAAGGCACAGACGGCCACGTCAGGCTTGGCGATCATGAGGAAAGTGATGATGTAGCAGAGAAAGATGCCAGTCAGCAGCACGTAGCTCAGCTCTCGGCCAGATGCCCGCACTATGGGTGTGTCATTGTAGCGCACAAATGTTGCCATCACAAAGATGGTGGCGATGATACCAAGCATGGCCAGGAAGACGGGGATAACTGCCCAAGGTGAGTGCCACTCCAGCTTGATGATGGGGATGGGCTGACAGGCTGTTCTGTTGGAATTGGGCCTCTTGTCGTAGGCACATAATCTGCAGGAAGTCTCGTCGTACTGGTACTGGTAACCATCACACAGCTCGCAGTGCCAGCAGCATGGCATGCCCTTTACTTTCTTTTTCCTCTCTCCGGTTTTGCAGGGTAGACTACACACCGAGATGGGCACCTCCTGCTCACCATCTGGCCACTGAAGCTCCTCCAGCTGGGGGAGATGTGACAGGAAGAGGAGTCAGTGACGGTGACATAAGCAAGAGGTATCCAAACAGGATGTCAATTTGTTGTACAAACACAACATATAAACCTCCCACAGCCTACAGGAATGGTTAACTTATTACGGTGCAGCATTATTCTTGACAGTTTCTTAAGAGAACAGTGTTTTCCAATATTTAAAATAATTAACATCACCATAGCAACAGAGAGCACTTCTGTTCAGTGAAATAAAAATAAATGTGAATTGCAAAAGACATTAGGTTTTAATACAGAAGCCAGTGAGGTATGAAATACGTGATGTGAAGGAAGGAAAATGAGATTTGGGTTCGCAAAACGTGACCGCTCGACTTTGCAGGCCCATTTCGAGTTTATGATCCTGTCATGAAGAAGAAAAGTGAGGTATACAGAAGCACCGTAATGCTGCGTTCGAGTCCTAAAGGCCTTGAGGCGTTGTATGATTCAAGCTAAACCTAAGTACTAGTTTGAACATACAAGTCAGACTAGAAAGCCGTGACAAGATGGATTTCCATATTTTTGGGGAGGTTAAAAAAAAAAAAAATTCACATTACTATGAGATGATCTTTTGATTTATTTTAAAGGTGCACTGAACTTTGGCTTAAAAGCGCCAGAAGATCAAAGCGTTATCAACTCGGTTTCACAGCTGTATCAAAGATCAGCAGTGAGTGACTTGATACCAGAATAAATTTTCTTCATGTTTTTCTCCACTTCATCTCCAGCGCACTGAGGGCCGGTTTACATCTGTCATTAACATGAATCTTTGGTGATCCATAACACTTCTAAGCGTAAATGCCAACATGCTCAGGAGAGTTTGAGGATCACACAGATCACATTCAGAGCTGGTCAGAACCTCAGGGAGTTAAAGTCAGGCGTATCCTGGACCACAAAGAAGAACCTCATGTTATTGATGTCTTCCATCTAAACCAGAGGGTCACTGTTAGAATTTTTATTTCTTATTTTTAAACACTTTTATCATTTATCAATGACAAAAAATACCTGCAGTATTTTGTTTGAGTAGCTGCAGCAACTATAAACTTTTAATTAATTCTGCAGAACTCTTGTGTTCACTCCTTACTCCTTTCACTGAATGCTAAGAGACGAGTAAAGCTGACGACTGTGCGGTCCTCAAAACTGATGTCTGAGCAGAAAACTTATAGGGAATTAATGGGACAGTCTGGTCATTTTTGAAGCAATATTCTGTCAAATTATTATCAATAGTTAGTGCCTTATCAGCTGTGACATCAGTCATAGAGCACAGAGTTTGAAGAAAGAGGCAGATGTTTTTTGTCAAGGCTAAACTAATGACTAGCCCAGGAGTCTGCAACCTTTTTGATCAAAAGAGTCATTTCTGTCCCTTCGCTCACTAAATAAAACATGTTTGGAGCCACACAACCTGCTACAACTGATTATCAACTGAAGGCCCATGGGCCACTCCACTTTGTTGGAGAGGGGATTTTTTGGCCAGTGGGGGTGACATTATAAAACTAAAATTATATCATGAATTTTAACATTTATTGATATTTTTACATTTTATGACAATAAAAAAGACCATATCACGTAAAGAAGGAACATAATTATCGTTTATACAAATGTTGATTCAAATTTAAACACTGAACTCTGCAGGCCTGTGTGAGGAATAATAAACAAGTACTGGGCGGGGCTGAGGTAGCTTGGTGGCCATGCCAGTGCCCCCGTCTTGCAGTCCTGAGGTTGAAGGTTTGAGCCCGGGTTGTGGCAGGAAGGGCATCTGGCATAAAACAAATTGCCAAATCTTTCATGCAAGTGGTGACCTCTGAAGAAAGGAACAGCTGAAAGATACTAAGTTACTTACTACTTCAACAATTTCCTGTGGGATCAATAAAGTTCTTATCTTATCTTACTAGTAGTTATCGGGCAAAAATGTATAAAAAAAAAAAAAGACAATAAATCTACCAAAAACCAGCCTTTTGTGTTGTGGGTATAAAACGCAATACAATTAAATGTCTTTAAGTTTTGGTCAAAGCTTCAAAGAGCTGCCGATGAGGGACTAAAGAGCCACATGTGGCCCCAGAACCACAGGTTGAAGACCCCTGGACTAGCCAAATGAGGGGCCCTTGTTTATTCTGAGGCTGCAAATGTATCAATCAGTCCATGTTTCCATCATGTCCAGTCCGTCTAAAAGTTCACTCAACTCCTGGCAGACTGATACATTTGCAGCCTCATGGTCTATCTAAGGTCAGCACACATATTTGAGTAACGGATGTTGTTTTGTTGGAAAAACAACAAACTAAACATATTGGGTCATGCAAAAGTGTAGAGGTTTATAATGAGCTGGAGTAGCGTTCATTCACAGCATGCTGTTGTAATGGAAAAAATCAATGTATAAACCTGAAAACTATAAATGTGCCTTTGTTTGGTCAGCCATTAGCCTAGCCTGGAGGAATGTGTCTTCTCCATCTGTTCCATGACAGCTGATGAGGTACTAGCTGTTGATCAGTATTTGACAGAACATTATTAAAAAAATTCAACAGATTATTCCTTTAAGAAACAAGTGTTGTGTATCGGACTAAGAAACAGAGTTCCACCATCTAAGTTTTTTTTTAACATTTTAATCAATTAATGTTTTTACATTTCTGTGCAGACGGACCACAGAGGAGTGTTTTTCTCTGGAAACGTCGAGTATGAACTTAACTTCAAGGGTACACAACTTGGATCATTTGAAACATACTGAACAGAACCAAATCAAACTAGTTTCAAGTAAAGCATCAAAGTTTAGTGAAAGACTTCAAGGTGTAGACAAACTGCTCTACAGAAAACAGCTCGACTGACTTCTTAAAGTGAAACTCTTTTCCTGAGATCGTTGACACGGCTTGTTAAACCTAAAAGTGACGATCAGACTTTAAAAGGAATCTTTTCCAGTCCCTGTTGTCCATCATCTTGTGTTCAAAAAGCAAAAAGTGTCATTTTTACACAATTGATGCGCTCACCAAAGATGTCACAGTGTTCTGCAGAGACTTTAAGTGGCTGTTTCTTTCTTTTTTTAACCTAACTTTTATAGCGTCAAAAGGAATGACGATCAGTAGAAAGAAAAAGAAATGTGGTCAATGAGCGACTGTTAACACAGCTCATATATTTATTGAGTAAACTAGAGATTTGATTAGATTTTCTTTTTTTTCTCCTATTCTACCTTAATATGGCAAGAAAAAACAAGTTTGCTTTGATTCATAATTACCCAAAAACATAAAACTGTCTCATTTTGCCCAGCTGTTACTGAGGTTTCATTAAAAATATCCTTCTCTTTTTTTTTAAACAAATTTTATTTAATAAAGATTAACAGCAAAACATATGAATAACTTCTGCTGTTTCACTCGAAGTAAAAAAAAACCAATAATAACACATGTTAATAACAATTCTTCAATATAATTAAACCCTTTGTTCACCGGTGGCCAATAATTAGAGATACTGAGCAAACGCACACATGAAGTGTGTGTGTGTGTGTGTGTGTGTGTGTGTGTGTGTGTGTGTGTGTG